GATTGACCCCCCCACCACCAGTCAGGGGTAGGGTTGGCCAGCCAACCTCCCATGGCCCCTCCCCTGGCCACTGACCCCCAATCGCCTCCCCCCCAAATCGCCCATGGTCCCTACCCCTCAGCCGGCCCGGCCCTGATCGGGACAGGCCGGTTGTTCAACCTCCCGCCACCTCCTCCTCCCGAGAGGCCCAGCCCCGATCTACCCCGATTGGGGTCAGGCCGGCCAGACCCCACCCATGCACGAATTCGTGCACTGGGCCTCTAGTTTTATAGATAATTGTAAATAATTTAAGTACTTACTATCTATATTTATTTTAAAGAAACCTGTAGAGTCTAACATGGGACTGTGTTGAAAACTACATCAGGATTTTGGCCTGAGGGGTTTAAGCAAAACCCTTTAACTGCAGAACAGGAAAGCAAAGCAAGGCTAGAGTGGGGATGTCACCAACAGAGGCCTGCTGTGCGCCTGGAGAACAGGGACTGAGAGTCTGGCAGATCCAGCAGAGGGACAATGGACAAATCCACACAGCAAAGAGGGGTGGGTGAGGAAGACTCAGACACTAGGCAGCACTGTTGTCTTTGGAAGTAATTTGCAGACAGTGCCAAGAACAGGTGGCTGTTATTTCCAACATTTTCCAAGCACTCTTTTCCGGCACTGAAAGGGAGCCCTAGAGATAGATAGGGCACCTGGAGGGGGCTGAGGCAGGTGATGGCTGGTGCAACCCTGGATGAGCCACCTCACTGCTCTGGACCTGTTGTGTTCATGAGGTAAGACAGGGGGAGGACACATGGCTAGATGTTTAAGGTCCCACCCTGTTCTAAGGTTAACAATTCAGAAAGAGATAATTTTGTGTGTCAGCTATTTTCAGACAGAAATAAAGTTCATGCAGGATATAAGTAAAATTTCTAAACTTTTCTTTGCTCTTAGTTCATAAGGAGAATATCAGTTGAGTTAAAATCCTTTGATGGACTTATTCTCAAATAATAGAACAAATGAAGGCAAAAATGTTGACAAAATGGAGAGTCTGGGTAAAAACAGAGAGCAATTCTCTGGACTATTCTTGTAACTTTTCTATAAGTTTGAAATTATTCCCAAAAAAATTTTAAAAAATGCTTTCTCTCTTGTCTTATGTACTCACATACCATCAGCGACATGGGCACACATGAAACTATGTGGTTATACAGTCCCCAGGTGTGGACCTGAATGCAAACCAATTCAAGTGGCCGTGGAGACACCAACCTCCCTGCCCTCCAGCGGCTGAGGTCCAGCACAGCCGTGTAGAGCACGTCCACCAGGCCCAGCGTCTTCTCAGGGTCCAGGCTTCTTTGCAGCAGGGACATGGTAGCAGGGTCTTCTTTCAGGCACCTAGGCACAAACCAGGCGCGTTAGTCTGGGCTGCATTTCTCTGCAAAGGTGTCCAAGAAGGCTTCACACAAAGGCTACAACTTTTTTAAAAATATAGTTTTATTGATTTTAGAGAGGAATGGAGAAGGAGAGAGAGAGAGAGAGAGAGAGAGAGGTAGAGAGAAACATCATCGATCCACTGCCTCCTGCACATCCCCCACTGGTGACCAGGCACGTGCACTGACTGGGAATCCAACTGTGACCTCCTGGTTCATAGGTTGATGCTCAATCACTGAGCCACGCCGGCGGGGCAAGGCTACAATTTTCACACTTTTGCACTGAATAAAAATTCAGTAACTGTAAGAACATTTAGAGAATGACAAGGCTAACACTGAAACTTGTTGCTCTGCAGAAGGAGGAGGAAGCAACAGGGTCTGGAGTGTCTATGGATTTCTAACTATCTATAATTCCTAATGCCTTCTCACTTTCCAACACTGGCTCTGGCCCTGACTTTCTTCCCTGCCCTGCTGAGGTTCTGTGGTCTGGCACCATATCTAGCCCTTTGCAAACTCTTTCTATAACACCCCTGACCTTCCCTTCCTCTATAGCTCTTCACAGACCATGCCTACACTGAAGACTTTCATATTTCCTTCCCTTCCCTTCCTCTATAGCTCTTCACACCTGTACCCAAGAAACAGGGTCAACAGAGGGGAAAATCCACACAGTATGCCCCCTGGACTCACTGCAAATTTGAGGTAAGCAACAAATACGGCCTTCCCATAAGTTCACTTTTTCCTTTTCCAAGATGACTGCTTCACCCCTCCTCGCCTCTCCTCAAAGCTCGGCCATCCCTGCTGTCTTACCCATTCCTTCCCACCTCAATTATCCCTTACCTGAGAAACCACACAAACAGATGAGACCTACTCCATCTCCCCTCATCACTAAGTCCACCACCTCACCTGTGTCCCTGCCCATGCACCCTGCCTTTCCCCTGTGTCACAGTGGAACACAGGCCCTGCTCTTACTACAGGCTGACCCCTACCTGAGTGCTGCATGCCACCCTCTTGCTTTCCCAAGGACTTCGCTTATGCAATCACCCCATTCCTTCCCTGTGATATCCCTTTGGCAAACAAACCAGTCTCACTACCTTCTCTTAGCCACACATTCCCCTTCAAATACCGTCCCGATTCTCTGCTCCCTATTCTCCTCTCATTCCACTCTTGGCAAGCTCTTATCACCATTAACTCCACTAAAATAACTTCTTTGCAGGGCTGGTGCGGCTCAGTGGTTGAGCATCAACCTATGATCCAGGAGGTCACGGTTCAATTCCTGGTCAGGGCACATGTCCTGGTTTCAGGCTTGATCCCCACCCAGTAGGGGGCATGCAGGAGGCAGCCAATCAATGATTCTCTCTCATCATTGATGTTTCTATCACTCTCTCCCTCTCCCTTCCTCTCTGAAAAAAAAATTGTATATATATAAAATAACTTTTTTGTTATTGCTGTTAATCCGCACCTGAGGATATTCCTTCCATTGATTTCGAGAGAGAGTAGAAAGAAGGGAGGAAGGGGAGATAGAAGGAAAAAGGGAGAGAGGGAAGAAAGGGTAAGGGAGAGAGAGAAACATTTATGTGAGAGAGACACACTGATTGATTGCCTCCCACACACGCCCCAACCAGGGCTGGGTATTGAACCTGCAACCCAGATACGTGCCCCTGACCAGGAACTGAACCCAAGACCTTTTCATGCATGGGCCGATGCTCTATCCACTGAGAACATCGACCAGGATCCCACTAAAATAACTTTTTAAAATTTATTTCAGAGAGGGAGAGGAAGAGATAGAATCATTGATTGGCTGCTTCCTGCATGTCCCCGACCAGGGATCAAGCCTGCCTGTACATGTGCCCTTGATCAGAATCGAACCCAGAACCCTTAAGTCTGCAGGCTGATGCTCTATCCACTAAGCGAAACTGGCTAGGGCTAAAATAACTTATCGAACAGCTTAGATCTTGTCAGAGTCAAGGGCAAGTTACCTGTCTCTACCTCAACCTCACTCAACCTCTCAACAACATTGTGCAGGTTTCTTTCCTCCTGGATCACTGTCTCTGCAGCTTTGGTGAACCCAGACTTGCTTGTTTCCTTCTACCTGTCTGACGGCTCCTTCTTGGTCTCCTCTGTGGACTCCTCCTGCTCCTCTTACCCCTGTCCCTGTATTGTGGCACATTCCAGGCTTTGTCCTCTTCCCTAGACTGCATCTGCTCCTGAGGCTTCACAGACCATGCCTACACTGAAGACTTTCATATTTCCTTCACCAGTCCACACCTTCCTCTTGAACTCCACTCTCATGTATCTAACTGCATTATTGATATCTCTCCTTGCACACCTAACAGGCAGCTCAGAGGTAGCCTGGTCAGCCCTAGCTGGTATTGCTCAATGGGTAGAGTGTCAGCCTGTGGACTGAAAGGTCTTGGGTTCTATTCCAGTCAAGGGTACATACGTTGGTCGCAGACTTGATCCTCAGCCTCAGTTGAGGTGCATGTGGGAAGCAACCAGTTGATGTGTCTGTCTCTCACCCGTCGATGTTTCTCTCTCTGTGTCTCCTCTCCCTTCCATTTTCTCTAAAAAAAAATAAATAAATAAATCAATGGAAAAAATATCCTCTGGTGAGGGTTAACAACAACGGCAGGGGGAGAGCCCTAACCAGTTTGGCTCAGTGGATAGATAGA